TGTGCAGGAGAAGCCGATTTGCAATGTTGAAGGAAGAACAGAATTTTGTGAGATGAATGGAGACATAAGGATCCATGGAAAGTCCTCTACAGTTTTCATGTCTGCTTCATCCACGGAAAACAGTTCGTGGATTATCAGTCCATATGCTCGAAAAGATGATGAAGAGGCTATGAATCATGTGACGAAATGGTCGATAAAATCCCGGGTAATGGATGACTACGGGTTACCTCGATGCGATCGGAAACACGAAGTTCCGGCCATCGTTTTCTCCCTCGGGGGATACGCAGGGAACAATTTCCATGATTACACTGATATAGTTATTCCTCTCTGTATCTAACTTCTCGACAGTTTGATGGAGAAGTAAAGTTTCTTATTACCAACAAAAATCCATGGTGGATCAACAAGTTCAAAACTATTCTACAAAAGCTTTCGAGATACGAGCCGATCGACATCGATAAAGAAGAACAAGTTCATTGTTTTACGAGCACGATCGTCGGCCTGAAACGAGACCCGAAAGAGTTGAGGATCGATCCTTCAAAATCACATCATTCAATGACAGACTTCAGGCAGTTTCTTAGAAGTGCTTACTCCTTGAAAAAGAGCACTGCTATAAAAATTACCAACAACGGTCACAAAAGAAAACCTCGGCTTCTCATTCTTTCGAGAAAACGAACACGTGCATTTATGAATACGAACGATATCGTTAGGATGGCGAGGAGTTTAGGCTACAAAGTAGTCGTTGCGGAGGCCGACTCGAATGTAGCGAGAGTAGCGGCGACTGTGAATGCTTGCGACGTAATGATGGGAGTCCATGGAGCTGGCTTAACCAACATGGTTTTCCTTCCGGACAATGCAATTTTGATCCAAGTTCTTCCCATAGGAGGGTTCGAATGGCTTGCTCGAACCGACTTCGGAGAGCCATCCAAGGGCATGAACCTAAGGTACTTGGAACACAAGATCAAAACAAAAGAGAGTACTTTGATCCAACAATATCCATCATGAGGTTATAAGCAATCCATCTGCCATTGCAAAACAGGGCTGGAATGCATTCAAGTCAGTGTATCTGCAGCAACAAAATGTGACCCTCGATATCCATAGATTTAGACCAACTTTGTTAAGAGCTCTTGAGCTCTTACATCAGTAAATATTATACATTCATTCATAATCTTCATCCACTTATATATAATTTTCCGATTTATAGTCGCCGGTGGGGGCGGATCGATTTAGATTAAAGAATTGTAGAATTATTCATTTTTACGGTATTTGTTTTATTTCAGTAAAACAAAAGTAATATCATTATCTGATCGGGTCCGTTAGGTTGCATCGTGAATACATGGATTAAAATCACCCTTTTTCTAGCATTTAGGGTCTTATATTTTATCTAACTTTTACGAAATTGTCATTAAATATATCAGAATTTTATAAGTATTATAAAGTTGCAATCACCATTTTGTAATTTTTGCTTATACCTACACATAATGTTGAGTTTTGCAGCAGTTCACACTATACAATGACTTCAACATGCTTGGTTTATCAGTCATACTGCAATTATATAAAAGCCATTGAATGTCCTTTTCTCAGTACAAATTGCAAGGTAAAGACAGTTTAGGAAAGATTAAAAAACCCTCTTAGATTAATTACATCTTAAGATGTATCCTCTAGGCGATTTGGCGTTGACCTTTTGGTCTTTCGTCTGTATCGAACCGCATTGATCTGTATATCAGTCTACAAATACATCATGCATGATTTGTTTCATCCTCTATAACTCCACTTTCAGGATCTTTAAGAAGATGCTTTTTCAATGTGTCTTCACCCTCGGCTACATTTTCTCCTTTGTTTTACCCCATAGTACCAGATAAAGGCCTACCATAATCAGAACTGCACCAATTACACTACAAGAACCAAAAAGAGATGGTAAGTGCAAAATATGCCATGATCAATGTATAGAAACTAGGTAGTTCCCTTTTTCATACCGTCCGGAGTATAATTTGTCGCCGAGAATTACAAATGCCATGAACGCAACTAAAAGTGTCTGTAAAGGCTGGAAGACGGCTACAAAAACAGGGCCGCCTTTGTGAATACACCATGTTTGTAGCGAAAACACAATACCAGATGCCACAACTCCCTGAGAAAAGCAAAGAGTTTACATGATGAAACATCATGCGAAACAGAATAGATCGTAACATCGTTTCGATATGCTACACTGGAACAAAAGTTTCTTACAGCATATAGAATGGTGAAAAGCTCTTCCATCGATTGGATTTTCAAGTTATTGAAATCTGTTTCCACAAATGCTGCTATGACCAGGAACTGGATGAGCCCGAAGAAGCATGTAAATGAGGTGAGTGTGAGTTTAGCTGGATACTTCTTCAATACAGGAGCCTGCAAAATTTCAAATGATTATATATTATACTATCTATATAGGTATGTACGTATATGTCAATGGTTCGGATAACTAGGGGACTAACCTGGAAAACCAACCAGCCAGCCCATGATAAGCAGTGGCCAACGAGGTAAATGCATCCCCAAGTCCAGTTCTGCATGTTTGATTGGTGCAATAGAAGGGGGCCTTTGTAGAGAGTAATTATAGTGGCACCCCCTATACTTACAATGGTTCCCAACACCTTTGCCTGTCCATGTCTTCTTGCAATATCAATTTGCTCGAGTCTGCACACGAATATGTAAATAAATAAACAAATCCATCCTCTTTTTTCTGTAAGCATTGTCATTGTTTCATGAAACTGGTTTACCTTAGAGCAGCAGCTGCAACAAAAGTAATTGCAGGAACGGAGTTTTGCATTGCCGAAGCGAACGTAGGGGATGCATAATATAATCCCAGAAGGTAAAATCCCTGGTTTGCAGTGATTCTGAGTAGCATACAGAATATAAAATAAGCTCATAAAACACGAGGGAAAAGGGTTTATTTCAACTGTTTCTAGCTAAATGATTCATCTCTTACCCCAGTAATGCCAGGAGGAAGAACTGAACCAGCAAAGGAAAAGTAAGGGGTGGTCTTTCCTTCCTGAGGAACATTAAATACTATAAATTCAAAACATATTCCAATAATCAAAAGACATTATTATCTGGTTTTGAAATGAATAAAGGGCTCACTTTTCCAAGAAATAAGCAAAGGACTCAACAAAAGCAAAGCAATGATGTTCCTGTAAACTGGGTAAACTACTTTGCTGACACCAATGTTAAGTGCAACCCTGGAAACAATGTGGAATCCTGCAAAGCAAAAATGCAGTGTAACCAGTGCTAGAACAAGCTTCATTTTCTCAGAAACAATTCTCTCTTGTGCCATTGTTTACTTAGTTGAGGTATTATCACAAAAAAAAGGTGCTCATACTATATAAACAAGCATGGGAAGAACCTTTTTTGAGCAGCAAGCCGCCTCTAAAGGCACATGCAACATGTAATTTTTATGGACTATTCATGGCAGTGGGGGCCTTGTCAGTTGCATGTAGTCCTTTAATCATCTGGTCTACTTTTTTTTTCCTTCTATATTGGCTTGTAAATGATTTGGATTTTGTTGGGGAGACAAAGGGGAGATTTAGCATGTTGGACAGGTATGAAGAAGATGCCAACTTGGATTTATTTCACATTCATTTCATGACCTCATCACCCAGGGTGAAGTCCAATGGTCAAAATTAAATTATAAAATTTTTAAGAGCTCAAATATAAATTTATCAGTTTTTTAGTTTATAATTATATGATTTAGGGGTGTATGAAGTGGAACTTTTACATTTAATCAAATTTTTATATTTTGAAATTTCATCAATTTACCCATTGATGGTTAAATCTAACATTTGTTCAAATCAGTTAGTGTCACATATCATATCACAGTATGTCTTAACTGATTTTTTTTTCAAAACTTTGAGGGTTTCATACTCCCACAAGCTTAACTATATAGTTTTTTTCTAAGAATACTACAATGAAATTCTATATTTTTTAGGGGTAGAATATAATCTTACTTCAACCTTAAAACTTTCAAGGGATTAAAATTGAAATATTACCATTTAGGGGGAGGGCATGGGTTGTCTGATGCAGGGGGATCCGAGACAGATGATGGTGAGCTGTCAGATTGCACCTTGATGGCGCTGAGATACCATGAGTTGGCAGATCAGCGCAAAGGCGGGAGTTGATTGTGATATGTTCCTCATTGGGGCCGTTTTGAGTGCGTTTCAGTCTTTTGGCCATAATTTTAGCTACGGGTATCGAAATCGCGCATAAAACCCCAATTCGGAAAGCCCCTTTCGACATGCACGCTGTCCACATCCAGCATGGCTCCATATGGCCTTTTTTCGACCTAAAATTCTGCCGTTTCCCCTTTCGAATCACTATTTTTTTTTTTTTTACTATTTATGGTAATATTTTGCTTATCAATTAGGAAGTCATTTTAAATCCGATTTGGGCCAATTTTTTGCAGATTGCTTAATTTATTTCGAATTTCAATTTAGAGTGATTTACGAGTTTGCTATTTTTGGCAAAATTCGGATAAAGACGATTTTTGGCTATAATAATCCGGCTTGTGGACTGATTTTCGCATTGTTTGATTTTATAATATTCCGTTAAACCCTAGAGACTTTTTTTTCTCTGACTTTGGGCGAATTTTCTCTTGTGAATCATCTGTTGGAACTAGCCTATAAGATAATCGCTATCTTGTCCCCCTTCTAATTTCACCCACCATATGTTTGGTATAACTCCAATCTCAATAATGTGCAATATATATAAACTATAAATTGAGATTCTACAAAAAGAAAATGTTTGTCTCATCTCAATTATTGATTGAATTGGTTATGTTTATTTGATTGCCAGATTGAAGAACTCAAAAAGAAGTTTATTTTTTATTATTACTAATTTGAGATAAATACAAAATAGTATTTGTTCAAAGATAACTTTAAACTATTTAATATTGAACACTACTACCTCGCATTCCTGGTACTCGAAAAGAAATATAACATCTTTATAATATATCCGACGATCCTAAAGCATTAAATGATTTAAATAATTTTAGATTATATTATTTTTTTCAATATGATCAAACAAGTTGCCTTGAATCGGGACAATATCAAACACGAAACTTTTCGCGTTGTAGAAGATAAAAGAAGAAAATTTAAATTAGGAGGGGGAAATCTAAAATGAGATTCATGAACCTGGTTTTGTTAGTTATGTAAATGACTGTCAGTGGGAATATTCGTGGTCTGTCTGGACACCCTAATCGGGAAATATCATAAACTAAGTGATTGATGAAATTAATTACTTCATCTCTTTGGATATAATATATTATTATATTATATGTAATCATTTGTGGAACGTGGTGTTGTTCATCATTAGCCTTTGATAGACATGGTGATGTCTTCAAGGGGGTTGAATTTTGAGCCATATAATTATACATAGATTGACCGATCGTGTCAAGTTTTAACAACGTAGGTGAAATATCCAAGTTCGTGTCTGCAGCGACGGATCGAGAGGCTGGTAGAACAGTTATTTTTAAAAAAATTAAATTCTTCGATTGCCCGAACAGTTTGTGGTCAAAGTAGTCGACCCAAAAGTATTCGGATTACGCCCTTAATGGTCGTGGAGATAGTCCTGAAAAGTTTGGGGTCAGATTTTGAGCCATGAGATTGGTCCATGGTATTAAATTGTCGTTAATTACAGTTACGATATTTGTTACAAATATAGTTATATGCAACTAAGGCATAATGATTGTTTTGGATATGATTTATTTCTTAAAAAATATAATATTTCTAAACTACGAGTATATTATTATATTTTGATAATCTTAAAAACCATTAGTGAAATAAGAAAGAATTACACAATGAGAAGAAGAAGAGATATGAGAATAAGAAAATTGTATTATTATCTCAATTTGAGATATGTGCAATGTTTTCTCTAAACTCCATATTTATAGGCATAATGAGTAGATATCATATAAAACTCTAAATCTAAAGGATTTTAAAGTCCTAATAATAAAGTATATCAAAATCATATCTTATTGATAAAGATAGACATAACAATGATACGATTATTATATTATTATTTTAATAGGGTTATGATCCACTTATACAATGTAAAAGACTTTTACTTTTACACCAATTGAAGATAAGAGTGCAAATAGACGATTGAGATTATTTTTTTTATTTTTGATAAAATATTTTCCATGCATTATTAATATAATAATTCAATTTATTTTTAAAAAGGATGAAGATATGTTGTGTTAATTGTTGGGTAATATAATGTTTATGATACTTCATTATAATTTTTATCTACAACATGATAAATTTTTATCTACATCGGTGTATTTTGACAATCGTTGAAGTTTATAGGTCTTACTAAATTAGATATAATTGGACTTCAATTATTGTAAGAGTAATACTCTTTAATTTTATAATTAATATTATTTTAAGTGTATATAACTGTATAATTATAATTTATATTATCAAAATATAATAGGATATAAAGAATTATAATGTAATTACACTATGCCAATAGAAAATATCTAAAGTGTAATTACATTCACGAAAAATTACTTGAATAATAATAATGTTTTCATACAACTATGACGTTACCTGTGTTTTCAACTTCTTAGTTGTGGTGACTGGTGACTTGGGAAGTAGGGTTAAGCATAGACAATAAACAAAAGAGATATTGCATGATGTGAAACTAGACTCATGTCCACATACATACATACATATATAATTAGAAGCAAAAATATACAAGGTTGATCAACTAAGTATGTTGCAGCAGCAACCAAGCTCAATTCACAGTTAAGATTTTGATTTCGAATCTTGTCTGGATCTTTCTATTGTTCGTGGGTGTATATCTCCAATGAACCTGCAAAAGGAAGATTAGACTGTATAAATCTTAAGTTTTGACCTATAATCTTGGGCGAGTGTACATGATAAAGGAAGAGAGATTTATAAAGCAGTAAATGCTTCATTTTCCATGCTTAATTTCGAGGGACCCCATGGGTTGATAAAAGGTTCATTGTACGGAGCCGAATTATCAATATGTCGGCTATCTATGCTGTACATCTGTGTCCTATCAAATCATCAATCGTTGTGTTCATGGGTAACTTAGAATTTTCCACAAAGCAAGTGGTACCTCAGGGCGAGGGAATCACTCTTAACGTGATAGGAAGCGGTGACGGATTGATGAACGTTGCTATTGTTGAGGAATCAAACCCTAGAAAAGCTCTAGACTCGATGAAGAATAATAAGAGATGAATGAGGAAGGTGGCGGCAATAGCTAGGGTTCTTTGGGGTTTATTTAAGTACTGGAAACAAGGTAAGAAACAAGATTAGAACAAGATAAACAAAATATAAAGAAATTGAAAATAAAATATGATAACCAATAAATCAAAAGATCTCCCTTATGAAAGTGAACGGTAAAGATGATGATGGTGATGATGGATTTGTGGAAAATAGATGGATAAGTGTCCTATCGAGCCCTCCTAGTCGCAATGAGAAGGTAAACACGATAATACGGCTCTAACCAACCCTCCTAGTCGCAATGAAAAGGCAAATTGGAGTGTGAAGATTAATCTCCCTCACAAGAACTTGAAAGAACTCCAGGAGAAGAACCTTCGAAGGCACAAGGCAATCAGCACTTGCAAAAACGAACTCTCGTTGTATTATTAATCAAAGAAATCTTGAATTACAAAGTTTAATGAAGTCTCCTTTATATAGGGGTTGAGTTCTAAAGGTCTTAAATAACTAATGAATAAAATAATAATAAACTAAACATATCTTAACTCTAATTCCTAATAAAATAATAAATCTAATCTTAAAAGATAATGCATCATCCTATATTAAGTTATATTAAAAATAATCAATAAAAATATTAAAAATTCGTAATATTTACGAAATCCCGTATTAATCCCGTATAGGATTTTCTGCATGCACCGTCTTCAGTAAAATAGCCATACCTTGAGTTCCCGATATCGGATTGATGCGATTCAAAAACCGTTGGAAAGATAAGAGATAGACAGTCGTATCTATAGAAGACATCTTTACTAAATAAGATTAGGATCACATTCAAAAAGTCGTCGTAAGTATTCTTCTGTTCTGATCTTCTTTTCCAATGCTTGGACGAGTGGATCACTTGAAAGAGTTATTACTTCTTCCTTTGATGTGGCCCTTGTGATGCATGTATCATCCTCCCTTTCTTCAAAAAAGATTCGACCTCGAATCTGAAACATTAAAGGGAGCAACATTAGAATCGTTTAATGATTCATTCACATTATACTTACCGAATAGATATGCTTTGAATCTTCGAGACTTTGTTCTTCTAATAGGTTCGAGTAGAAACATTAGTCCAAAGAAGCATGTATTATGGACTCTGGTGCATGTATCATAACGATGATAAACAACGAATGTTTGACAGATGCCGTGGTGGAGTAGACCAGCTATCCCTACACGGACTCGACATAATTAGGTCAGGCCATTAGGGTCAGGTACCCTTGAAGGGAAGGACGCTCTCCCACCGTTGTTCTCTTCTTCCTGCAAAGCTGAAACCTTGCTTAATGGACTTGGAGCTGATGAAGATCATCTTGAACTGCAAATAAACACAA